GTAAGAGCATGAGTGACCTCAACATTACAAAGTCCCACCCATCATAGACTCCAAGTTCGTGGACGTTGCATTATTAGGTCACACTTTAATTAACTTCTATTTCCCATATAGTCTCCCATCTTCTAAGATCATTTGCAGCTTAAAAAGGGACAGTCTCAGGTGTGGGTCTCTGAACTCCCTTCTCTACCCTCTGTGGAGTATCAGTCTCGCATAATGATTATCAAAGACCTGGCTACCACTGTATTGTTTTGCTTTGGTTGTCATGGCAACCGAGGTTATCGTGTTATGTCAGAAGACAAAGCACCATCAACAACTGAATATTTAGTGAGGACAGAGCCTGTGATATCTATGTGTTTGGAACGCAGAACTGGTCAGAGATGAGACTGAAGTCAAACCCTGAAAGTCATGAGAATTCAAGCAGAGAGAAGAGAGGGAAACCACATGTGGGTGTGGGGAGAGCCTGAACAAAGAATCTCAAAGATTCCACAAGAACTGGAAGAAACAGTGGGTCCCAGCACAGAGCCTTAGAAGGAGGGCCCTGGGAAGGAGAGGTGGGGCCACACAGGCCTATGGGTTTGTAGAATAGCTTAGGTTTCACGTTAAGAGGCTCAAGAAGAAGTGGTATTTATTAGAGCTGTGAGATAATGTGGAGTTTCATGTGCTCTCATTACGGATTAGCTAAATTCATCACAGTATACAAAACATAGGCTTGAGAGTATAGATCGAGCTTGTTGATTTACTACTAGTAGTTGGAGACCCTTTAATCTTCTCATTTTTATATGTCCTAACATCATTATAAACTTTATGTACAGTTGAACACATAACCCTGTGCTGTATTAGAATATATGCATATTATAATTAATAGTAATTTCAATAAATGTAATGATTTATGTTAATGATATTGGTTTTTTCCTCACATATTATATACACATGTATATACATTGTTAGGTAGTCATTTACATATTATTTGTTTTACTGATATTTGCAAACATGGTTCATATACTATATAATTATAACAATGTATATGTGATATATATATCACATATACACACAGTAACATTTTGGATGAAGCTTTAGGAGGACACCAAGACAGATTACTGAGGAGTAAGGAGTTTATTAGTAATATGGATAGATGGACACAGGGGATCCAAGTAGAGTTCAGGCTTCAGCACCAGAAACAAACAGCCTGATGGGAGCTCTGAAAGGAAGAATCAGAGCCTGTGTGACTTAAATATGGATCTACTCCTCTTTTAGCCTTCTGAGGATAGAGAAGAGTCCACAGAACAAGCTTGTAGGCAGATTCTCTGGTTCTCTGTCCAGAAGTAAGGAAGAGAGTAAAGAAAAGGACCTGTGACCACCATCCCCTTTGATATAAATTCACCTCCTAAGTGAAAGATCCTGGCATCAGGAAGTCTGTTAGCTGGGGATATAAAGACAATGTTTCAGTAAGGTGCACCAATGGGTATCTGTCACAAGCTGAAGTCCAACATTACCTTCTTACACATAGATGCATGTATGCACACATATGTATATTATGTGTGTGTATAGCACACATGTGCATATCTATGTGTTTATAACTACAGTTTACATTTTTTTAAATTATGCTGGTTGCAGTGTTAAAGTAAAGAAAGTTGAGAAGGAGCATCTGGAAGACTAGAGTGGTCATCTCTCTGCATATTCCTTAGTGCCCATTCTCTCCTGCCTTGAACAGGAAGAGATATCCTCTTAACTCCTGTGCAGTCTGGTGGATATGTTTGGGCAATCAAGGGGTTATGAACCCAGGAGGGAAGCCCTTGAGCACCAGAAAGAGAACTGGGTGTGGATTTTCTATGTTCTCATCAGCCCAGCAAGCCAGTGCTCTGGGGGTATCTCTACCCAAAGCTGAAAGCTATCTGATCCAGTCCTTCTTATCTGTGAGGAGAAGAGCTGTCTCCCCACACACTCAATCTGTTACCGACTCTTCCACACTGCAGTGCAGAATGAGCAAGAAGTAATTGTCCTGAGTTGTCAGCCAGATTTTGTTTCCTCAAATGAGCCTAAGGTCTCCTGAGAAAACGCAGACACATCACTCTACATTGTCACAGAAGAAAACACACAGATCTATAACTGCCTGTCACTGTGCCCAGCACACAATAGATGCTAAATAAACACTAGCTAGAAACTACCACCGCTGGCCTCCTCAGTTGAGCCTCAGCTGTTTTATAGATAGGGGTGGACCACCTCACATTATGGCCTGCTTCTTCCTCTGGTGGATGAAAGGCTTGCACCACAGCTCCAAAATTCTGACAACCTGTGACCACAAGGAAGCACTAAGAGAGCAGGGAGCCTTGGTAACATTCTCCTTTCTTCTCCAGTCCAGTATTTTCTTCAAGCAGAGAAAACAAATACCTTGGATACCAGGTCCATAGATCCATGATCCAAAAGACCAAAGAGGTCACCATACTCTCACATGGATCCCTTAACAAAAGATAAAAGGAAAACCAGGAAACATTCTTGGAAGGACAGTCAGAAAGTCCCTAATTTTGCTCTGGAGATTTAGAGTCCTAGCAGGTAAAGAAGGGGGAAATGTAAATATTAGGCTAGAGAGATTACTCAATAATTAGGAACACTTACTGGTCTATCCAAGGACTGAAGCTGAGACCCCAGCACCTACATCTGACAGGTCACAAATGTATGTAACTCCAGCTCTGTGGGATCTGACCCAAAACCTGTTTCTGTAATCTATAGGCATATGCACACTCATATATGTGCACTCACATACACAGATACACACAACTATAAAATAAAACAACATGAATATTCCTAAAAAGTAAAAATGTTAATTATTCTAGTTCAGACAGTTACAAGTATCAATAAACTAATGCTGAGGAATTTGCTAGTTTTCATTCTGTCTGTCTGTGAACTGCTATCAAAATTGCAGATTTCTAGAGTTCTTGCTCTAGACTTCCAAGTAAGAGGGAACTTTGGGCTGTCTCCACATGCTGGCATTTCTCAGTGCAGGCACTACATTTCATCTGTTTACATGACAGTGCTTCTCAGGAAAAAACCTGGGCTGTGCCTACAAAAGTGCCACTAACAAGCTCTGTGATCCTGGAAAAAAGCAGCCTCCATCCCCCATAGTCGAGCATCGTCATGTGTAAAATGCTGATAATAATACTCACCCTGTCTACCTCCTGGGGATGTCATGATGATCAAATGAGATGGAATAGAAGCAAAAGTGCTTTGAAGAGCATCCTCACCCCACAGATGCACGGGGGATGCTTGATGTATTGTTGTTATTATGGCTGTTGTGGTCCTCCTGCTTCGGGATGATTTGTCTCTGAGGATTTTCCTCATGCACCACAGGGACTGAAGAGAAAGGGGCCTCTCCTTGATGCATGGTACAGCTCTGAAGGGAGTTTGCAGACTCCGAAATGTAAACAACCTATTTCTACAGAGTTGATTTTCCTTCCAGAGAAATGAACAACTGCTCCCCACTTTCTTTCCAAATATACATGAATTCCTGTCCCCCTGAGAGATTCAACTGCTTTATCTCCATAAGCGGTTACCATCCTAGGTGCTTGCTAGTCTCTGAATAAAGTCACTGGAGTAAAGACCTATTCCTCAGATCTCCTGGGAACCTATCCACCTATTTTTAAATAAGTGACATCCCCAGGGACACTGGATGACATTTTTAAGAAGTCAGGAACTAGGAGCCATGACGTGCAACCATCTGTACACCTGAGACACGCTATGAAGTTATCAGGAAGAAGGAAAGTGTCTCCCAGAAAAGCCTCTTTGTCTACAAGCTAATCAGCATGGAACAAATGCCCCTCCATTGAGAGACTTGACTTGCTCTTTGGGATTATGAAACTTTTCTACCATATAGAGTCCTGTCTAGTAACACAAATAAGAGTATTGGACATTATTAACATTTAGGCCTACTGTGAACTTGCCCAGAGCAAATTTGAAAAAGAAGACACAAGAAAAAGAAAGCAAAGAAGGCAAGAGGCAAGAAAGGTCAGGAGAAATGCCATAGTGTATTTAAAGCTATCCAAATAAATAATTATCAAAATTGCATAATGGAGGCCCAGCTAGCTAGAAAATTGATCATGAATATGACCATATTACATCAATGTGAATTCAATAAGTGGATTTTAAGTCTACATGGCCAAATCATTTTTAAAAATAGATTAAAAATGAAAAGATTTGTCTTTGCCTGTTTCAATAGTATCATAGTAGGAGTGTGGATTGGATGTAAAACAGCTTCTGTAAGTTGACATTTTAACACTTGATCTGGACATTGTGGCATTGTCTTAGAAAGCTCTGGAACCTTTAGGTGGAGTCTTGCTGGAGAAAGTGAGTCACTGAAGGCAGACCTTGCGTTCTATACCCTGGTGCCAACTTTGGTTCTCTCTGCTTCCTGTTTGTAGATATGATGTGATCATCCAGCTTCCTGCTTCCTCTGCCATGCTTGGCCCACCATGATGGACTTTCCCCTTAAGTTGTTATTGTCTGGGTATTTGATTGCCACATCAGCAAAGAAAACAGCACAGTAGGAAACCATTGCACCTGTGAGATAGTTTGCGGAACACAAGGGGCTGAAAACAGCACAGATCTAATAGGGAGTACAGGATCCAGCTTTTCATGGCAGTACAAGTTCCTGCAACAAGAAAGTAAAGGTTCTCAGAAGTACGGAGCAGGGACTCTGATCTCAGCTTCAGCAGAGGGATGATTGTCACCAGCAGAGGAATGTGGGGAGCATGGTGTTCCGGGCACAAGGATCAGGTGTGCAAGGGCACAGCAGTGTGATGCTGCTTGGCATTGTCCATGAACATATGCAAGCATGCATGATCTTGCTGAAGTGCTACAGGCTGGGAAGGTCATGTTGAAAAAGCAAGATTAAATAGTTTGGTGTCATGGGGCCAACCTGTGTGAAATCTCCCAATGCCACGTTACGCTTGGATTTTATGGAAGCACAAAGATGTTTGAGCTCTAAAAAGAGAAAGCAACATTGTCAGATTTATTTCAGGAAAAAAAAAAACCATCACACAGTCTATAAGCAGAAAAGATGTGTGTGGTGTGCAGCAAAGAAAATGCAGGAGGAAAGAACCATTCCGCCTTGGTGAGTCACTGGGATTCGGGTGGTGAGAAACATCTGCTTAAGGGTAACTCTAGCTGGAATTTCCTCCTCAGATTGGAAGATGAAGGAGGGATTGGTTTGGGGCACAGGAGGCATGACTCACTTTTAGAAAGGATTTGAATTTCTCTTAATTCACATTATAATGCAAGATCAGAGAAAAACTGCCGAGAAAGAGATGAGGGAAATTAAGAGAAAATTTGCTTCTTTTCTCCAGCTGAGCTCATTTCCCCACCGACTAGTTTCAGTGCTTCAGATCTTGTCTAGTCTACACTTCGTCAGAGGTGACACCAAGAATAATTATCTTAAAACGTATGGAACAGAGTAAATTAATATTTGTTGAATGGGAAAAAGCTTAAGGTTGTAATTACAATTGTATCTTCTAAACTATAAGTAAAGACAGGAGCTGAGGGAATGGGGAGATGGCTTAGTATGAACACTTTCTGTACAAGCATGAGGATCTGAGTTCAAATCTCAAGCACCCATATAAAAAGTCTGATGTAGATGAGCATGTGCCTGAAACCCCAGTGCTAGGGGAGGTGGGGGCAGAGAAGGGGGATCATTTGGGCTTGATGGTTACCCATCTTCAGTGTCAGAGAGAGACTATGTCTTAAGGAAATAAGGTGAAAAATGACAGAACCAGACATCCAAAGTCCTCCTCTGGGCTCCACACACATCCCTGCAGGTTCCTACACTCACCACGTAGACAACCCTTTGTGTGTGTGCATGTGCAAGTGTGCATGTCTGTCTGTCTGTCTGTCTTAAACACACACACACACAGGTTTTAAAGAGGTGGCAGAAGAAAGACATGTGCTTAATGTTGTCCTCATGACACCCAATAAATACATTTTCTTTGTAAAGACTTAATCCCATGAAAATCGGGAAAAGACAAAGAAGACAATAGCTACAGGATTTGGGAAGCTGGCAGGCAGGGGGAGGAGAATAGCTTACTTAATAGAAATAAGAAAGCCAGGTCCTAATCAGTTTCAAGGAAAATTGAGAATCAACACAATTCTACCACAGAATGGACAAGAGTCTCCAGAAGTGGGTGCCAGAGCTTGGATCAAGAGTAATTCCGAGAAGCTCAGCTACTGATCATGTGGAGGTGGTAGTGTCTTTAAGATTTGATGAGGGGGTTGAGAGTCCTTAGGTCACTGGGGGGTGTGCCCTTCTAGGGACTCTTCCTCTCTCTGTCAGTCCCTAGCAATCAAGGTACCCAGTATTTGTCTTGCTCTATTCTTCCACTATTATATACTGTCTCCTTACCAGCTACCAAGGACATGAACATGGCTGACCCACCATGTCTGACACCTCTAAAAATGGGGGCCACCTTAAGTTTTATTTCTTTGTAAAGTTATTTATCTCAGCCATTTGTTATATTATAAGAACGCTGACAAATGAGGGCTGCAGAGATGACAGGTCAGTCAAAAGTGCACACTGCTCTTGTGGAGGGCCTGAGTTTGGTTCCCAGGCCCTGCAATGAGTGACCCATAGTGTCTTAACTCTGGCTCTAGGGTGTCCAACGTGCTCTACCAGCCTCTACAGACACCTCTTCTCACATGCACTCATTTACAGGCAGACGCACAGTGAAAACAAAACACTCTCTTCCTTAAAGAAGTGGAGAAGGTGGACTAAACCAGTGAGTGTCCCAGAACATGGGAGGGTTGAAAGGGAACTAGGACAAAGAAAGAAAGGAAAGGCCTAGGTGATGCTGTTTGAGGCCCAGGAAGGCCCAGAGCAGCCAGTGTCCTCAGACTCTCACCCTGACAACTGACACATCAGTGTGGTGTTCAGGAGGCTTTAGTCCCCAAAATGGGAATAAAGTAAAAGAGATGGCTTCCAGGGACACCAGGTAAAGTTGAAGGTGTGAATAATATGCGGAAAAGAAAAGAAATAACTGACTGTGCTCAAAGAGTTCCCATGGTTGAAACTCAAAGAGAGCCCAGTAGTCAAGCTTGCATTGCAGGGAATGAGTGGGGAACTGTTCCCTGAGTTGTCCGATCCGTGTAAGGGCACACTGAAGGCACCAGGGCCTTCCCCGCCCAGAAACCACAAAGCTCAACAATTTAACCAACAGACATTCAGGTTCCTTTGTTTTGTGCCTCAAACTCTCTGTGTAGCTGAGGATAGCCTTGAACTCTTGATTTTCATCCCTTTACCTCTTGAGTATTGGGATTATGGGTGTGTACAATTGAGCTATAACCCCATGCTTTTGAATCCCCTTCTGAACACGCTGTTCTTCTTCCCCATTTTCCGTGTGTGTTATGTGGTAAGTACATAGGTGTGCAGGCATGTTTTTGCATATGTGTGGGTGCCTACGTGTGTGGACTCCTTTGCACATGGGTGTACATGCATGTGGAGGCCTTAGGTTTGTGTTAGTAATCATCCTCAGTTATTCTCCCACCATAAACATCCAGGCAAGGTCTCTCAGGCAGAGCCAGCACTTCATTTTAGGGCTAATCTTGTAATCCAGCTTGTTCTGGGAACTCCGCTCTCTGCCTTCAGAGACTGGATTTACAAAGGGGCTGAGGCACCACCCAGTGTTTGTGTGGATGAGGAGGGTCTGAACTCTGGCCCTCACATTTGCATGACAATCACTTTCCTGCTGAGCCATCTCCCCTGAATGCCCAATTTTGGTCTTAACTCCCCAAGATAGAGAACTCCCTTTAAGATAAAGAGACCCAAATGAAGATAGACTAAAAGAGGAATTTGAAGAAAATAGAGACCATGCCAAAAGATAAGAGAAAGGGTGAAACCTGAGGACACCATTGTCGATACCCTCAGGGGAAGGACAGGATGAAGGCAGGCAACAGGAAGGTAATACATGGGAAAAATGTTAACGCGGTTATCAAAGACTCCTGCACATTCAAATCATAAAGAGAGAAAGCAAAGGCAAATAACATTTGAAAATTTGTGAGATAAAAGTGAGGTACTATGCCTTGAAATAGAGCAAGTTAAAAGGTAGAAGGGGCCGGGCAGTGGTGGCGCACGCCTTTAATCCCAGCACTAGGGAGGCAGAGCCAGGCTGATCTCTGTGAGTTCGAGGCCAGCCTGGGCTACCAAGTGAGTTCCAGGAAAGGCGCAAAGCTATACAGAGAAACCCTGTCTCGAAAAACCAAAAAAAAAAAAAAAGGTAGAAGGGATGGGGGTGGGGACAGTAATGGAAAATAAAGTAGGAAGTCAAGTAAAATTAAAAGTGGAACACTGTGTCCTGCTGGGGTTGGAGGAAGGAAGCAATCTAGCAAGAGATCACAGAGGCAAAAGAGAGAAATTGACCAACACAGTAATCCAAGGAAACTTTCTAGAAATGAATGGTGAGAGGTTTTAAATTCAAGGACCCACTGGATGTCTAGAACTATGAATCGTGAAAATATATAAGATTCCAAAGAGGGGACATGAGATTGAGTGTGGCTTTGGGCTTACCAGTAATAACTGCAGAAGTGAACAACATTGGGAAACTGCCGTTACAATTCTGAGGGAGGATTGTTGCTACGTAAAAGTCTATTCCTGGACAGATCGGCAATTAATGGCATGTTATAAATGAAAATATTTTCAGACTTTTCAAGATTCAAAAGTTCCCTCTCCTCTCATCCACTCCAAAGAAGTGATTAGATTATGAAGCTTAATATTGATTGCCAACTTGACAGGATTTAAAAATCACCCAGGGTGAAAACTTCTGAACATGTCTGTGAGGGGTTTTCTAGATTAGATTCAGTGAGGACAAAAGATGCCTGGATCTGGATGTGGGTGACATCATCCCATGGGCTGGGGGCCCAGTCTCCATAGAAAGGAGAAAGTGAGCCTGAGTACCAGCCCTCATCTCTCTGCCTCCTGATTGCAGATGCCGCATGACTTGCTGCTTCACACCCTGGCTGGCAGGAGGCCCCCACCATGGTGGACTGTACCCTCAAACTCACAGGTTTGGAAGGCGACCAGCTCGATGGGATCAGGACATTCCAGGAGTCAGATGAACCCAGAGCCCAGAGCTACTATCTAAATCTCATACTGGAATGATGAACTAAAAAGCTTGTACCTAGAGAGAATCTGGTCTTTCTTTGTCTCGAGCTCTGATTAGTCACCATGTCCTTCTCCAGAATCATCTGGAGACACTCATCCTCTCATTCTGCGTTCTACACACAAGTAGCCTTGATGCTTTGTTGAGAGCAGTTACAGGATGTGCCACGTTCAAGAGCTAAACATGCCCCAAATCTTGTTTCTACTCGATGTCCAGCAACTTATCTATTCCTTCACCCTGTTACACTCCCTGAGTATCATCTCTAGGAGACTCCTTCATGTGAACATCTAGAAGAAATGGGAGCCACAGGTTACTTCTCCTGCCTCCTCTTCTCTTGAGTGCCCTCACTTAAGAGTGACGGTATTTTTCCTTCCTTACACATTTAGTAAACTTAAAGTTAACGCATGCATTATTTAAAAGCATCTACAGTAATGATATCCCCAGAAACAAAACAAAGCAATCATTGATAGTAATCTCAAGACAGTGAGGGCCTCCAGAGGCATACTGAGAGAAGACACTCTCAAAAATGCACACAGGAGGCTTCTGAAGACAGAACGTGTTCTCGGTCTACATTGGTTTTGTCTCTTTTATCTTTATTAAGATATATGACCCAGATGGACTCCAAGATCACTAGGTAGCCAATGATGACCTTGAACTTCTGATTCTCCTGTCTTACTCTCCCAAGGTCCGAGAACCACAGTTTCATATAGTATTAACCCACGCTTCAGGAGTATAAGATATTACTGCATTATTTATAACACGTATGTATATATATAATATATATATATATTTTATATATACTCATCTAGCTATGTAACTGTAAGTCTTCTCAAAAGAGACAAAGTCAATAGAACCCAGAGACAGATATATAAGGGAAGATATATGATGGGATGAGCTTATGCAGTTATAAAGCTAAGCATTCACAGAGTTGGCTATTTGCTACTAGTGAACTAGGGGAGCAGTGGTATAATTCAGTTCTGGTTCAAAGACTTGAGAATTGAGGAACTAATGGTATGTGCTTTGGTGAGAGGCTTGGAAGCAGGTCAGCCAGGTAAACCAATGTCTAGGAGCAGGGAAAGATGGATGTCTCAGACCAACCAGTTCTTTCTTTCTTTGCCGCTTTGTTCTATGTGGGCCTTTAGATAAATTGAAAATGACAAGCTTCCCTGGTTGACCAGTCAAAATGCCAATGCCTTCTAGGAATACCCTCACAGACATGGCCAGCAACAGTGTTTGCTAACTTTATGGACCTTGCTTGGTTCAGTGAAGTTGAAATATGAAATTAATCACTACAATAGTATCATAATTGGCAAACACAAAAACAAACACCATGGGTTATCTGTACCTCTTTGAGCTTATTTTTAAAATTTAGAGTATGTGTATGTGTGTGTGTGTGTGTGTGCATATTTGTGTGTGTACATGTGAAAATGTGTGTTTTTATGCACTTACAAGGCTCTCACTGGCCACCAGTGGCCTGCTCAGCATATATACAGATGTGGTGATCTACAAATATTTTGTTCTGTTTGTTACATGAAAGCAGTCCAGATGCTGTCCCCAGCATGCTGACTCTAATAGCCATATCTAGCTGCTGTTGCACTAGTGGTTAATGGAATTACAAAGAAGGCCAAACTTATACAATTGCCACTTCAAAGAAATACCATGTTGGAGTCGTAGGAAATGCAAAAATAGTTCTTGCCAGTTCAACACTCCCAAAATTGAAATCACATCAACCCTCAAAGGAAAAAAAAATGTGATATAATTGAAACCAGAGAAAGAAATTAGCTTTTTCCCATTGAGGTGGGAGATGGGTTCAGACCATTTAGACTGTGTAGTGCCCTAGTGGGTTGAAACATTGTTAGTTGTATATCCCACTAATGGACAGTTTTTAAATTATCAGCTAAATAATAAATTGAACTTTAGTAAGGAAAATACTTTTGACATCAAAAATGAAACTGCTTTAACAAAAAACAAAAAAAGTCTTGTTGCTTTGATTCCCCCAAATAACAAAGGCGGTGTAGTTAATGTAGGGCATCTTTTCCCGTAGATGGAAGGAAGGCAGAAATTCTCCAGATGCTTCTGCTGCCCTCATTATCCAAAAGCGATGCGCTCAGGTCAGAGGGCCCCTCGGAAGAAGCCCTGTGGGGAAGCTGTGCAGGAGAGCTATTGGCTCCTGAGCCGGGGTTTTATTGTGGATGCTCCTGAAGGATGGAATCCAGGACCTACTGCTGCCCTTGAACAGATAAATGTTTGTGAATGAGCCCCTTTCCTTGGACCTCAGGCTGTGTAGCCCCAGCTCAGGTCAGTTTACCTCACAGCAGACCGTCAGACAATAATCATTTAAGGTGGGGAGTTGATTCTGGCTGCTTCGTTCAAGCGTTCAGTTTTATTTTTTGTTTTTGATTCTATTTGGCTTTAGTGAAACTTTAAAAAAATGATTTGCTTTATTCTACATTATGTGTGAACATGGGCAGGGAAGAGGATGTGCGCAGGACTGTGGGATCCCGTGGAGATCAGAAGGAAGTGCATATCCCGGAGCTGGAGTTAGAGGCAGTTGTAAATTGCTCAAAGCGGTTTCAGGGGAACAGAATCCTCTAGAAGATCATTAAGCCCTGTTAACTATTGAGTCATCTCTCCAGCCCTCAGTGACACATTCTTCATTGTCCTTCTCATACATATTTATAAAAGAACAGCCACCTACCATAATCATACAAAAATGAAAGCAAACTGTGAAACATTCCAGGGCTGGGAGTGTAGGGCAATCAAGAACGTGCTTGCCCAGCACAGGTGAAGCCTTGCCTTTAACCCCCACATCAGAGAATTAACAAGCCTAGCCCTGATCTTAACTCTGTCCCAGCACCCGGGAGATGGAGGCAGGATGGTCAGAAATTCAATTCATCCTCTGCTACAAAGCAAATTCCAGGCAAGCCTGGCATAGAAGAGACCTTTTCAAAAGGTTTTAGAAGAGGATGGAGCACCTCCTCAAGTACACACTAAATAGATGAAAACATACCCAAAGACGATATTAATTCAAAAGGCAAACTTACATGGCACCACCATGGAAAAGTGTGAAGGAGAGCTTGTGCTAAGACTTTAGGAGAGGGATGGGAGAGACGGCTTTGTGGTGTGTCAAGGGCACTCACTGTTCATGGAGAAGACCCTGGTCCCACTCCCAGTACCCAGGCAAGACAGCTCACAACTGCCTGTAACTCCAGCTTCAAGGGGTTCAGTGTCATCTTTGAATACAAACAGACACACACACAGAGTAAGATAGATCTTAAAATAGAAAATAGAAAAAAAGTAATGCAAGTCAGAAGAAGTTCTGAAGAGAGGAATATTCAAGACTTTAAAGCCAGCTGTCTATGGCAAACCTGAATTCATTACACATGGACAGCACGGTTGGAGCCCAATGATTGTGACAAGAGATGAGAATGGAGAATCAAAGAAAGACTAGATCACACAAGCCTTGGCAACACTATAGATCTATCTATCTTAAACCTCGGAAGACTTTCATCAGGGAAGTAGCAGTCAAACCTGTATTTAGAAGTATCATGCTGGGGCTGGAGCCATGCCTCAGGGGTTAAGAGTGTTTGCTGCTTTAGCCGAGGACCCGAGTCCAGTTCCTAGCACCTATGTCAGGTAGCTCACTCTGTGTCACTGAAGCATTAAACAGGCTTATCCCTCACCTTGAGCTAGAGACCAAGTGGCTAGAATCCACAGTAGTAGTTCCCACCCCATGAAATGATTGAGGGCTGATTTTCCTAAGGCACAGTACTTGAGGATGGAGTCATAAAACTTTCAGGTAAACTCTTGGGCCTTACACAGATCATCTTCCATTGCTTATCATATTGATGGCCTGTATATCCCACAGTCACACTCTGACCAACCCCTTAACAGATGCTACCTCTGGAACCTAACGCCCTGTGCTTACTGTGTGCCTGGGGGTAGGGGGAGCATCAGTCTGCAGTATGCAGCCTGTAAGGATGGTGTGGATTGGTTGCACCACAATCAAATTTTAATATAACCTTACTTTGCTTTAAGCCCCCAGTGGCTATTTTTCTTATTGGATATTAGTTTATAATGATTGGTCTCTGTGATAATTAATGCGAATTGTTGGTTGAATTTGGAAGCTACTAAGAGATACATGTATGAGTCCGTCTGTTGCAGCATTATGAAAAAGGAATAGCTGAAGGGAGAAGACTGTCCCTTGGAGTGGATGGCACCTTCTAGCAGTGGCCCAGTTACAAAGAGGTGTGAGGGGAAAGCAGTGTTGCTTGCTTGACTGCCTTTTTTTTTTTTTTTTTTTTTTTTTTTTGCTGGTAAGGACATCTATATGTCCCATTGCTGCTGCTACTGCTCCTGTCATGCTCTGTCACCATGAGACTCCAGTTTCTTCAGCCTCCTGATGTTGACTGGCCAACAGAAGTTCTTTTGGAATCCTTCCAGTCCCATATTGGGAATGCTGAGGCATCTAGCCCCACAGAATGAAGTCAGTCAGTCTGTGCTATATTTGTTCTAACTGCCTGAAGGATCTAGGCCAGCACTTAACAGGTTGTATGCATTACTTTACATTTGAGTTTACTTCTCTACATGGTGCATTATGGTGTCAGATTACAGATTGTTTTGAGGTTTCTGGTTCTCTGCTTAACTTAAGAAATCCCAGCAGAGTTTGTGAATCAGGAAACAAGACCCTATAGAACCACAGGGAAGAACTGGGAAGGTGGCTTAGTCAGGAAGAGGCTTGTAGAGCAAGTATGAGGACTTGAGTTAGAATCCCCAACAGTGATGTGTTGTGTTGGACAGTCTTATGCCAACTTGACAGACAAGCTAGAGTTATCTGAATAGAGACAACCTCAATTGAGAAAATGCTTCCATAAGATCCAGCTGTATCCAGGTTCTGGCTATTACAAATAATATTACTGCAAACATAGTTGAGCATGTGTCCTTGTGGTATGATTGAGCATTCCTTGGGTATATTCCCAAGAGTGGTATAGCTGGGTCTTGAGGAAGATTGATTTCCAATTTT